TATATAGCATATGTGATGAGCGCATCATGATGACAGCCTATGTGATAAGTGTTATATAGCATATGTGATGAGGGCATCATGATGACAGCCTATGCGATAAGTGTTATATAGCATATGCGATAAGTGTTATATAGCATATGTGATGTCTTATATAGCATATGCGATGAGCGTTATATAGCATATGTGATAAGCGTTATATAGCATATGTGATAAGCGTTATATAGCACATGTGATGAGCGCATCTTGATGTCAGCCTATGTGATAAGTGTTATATAGCGCATGTGATAAGTGTCATATAGCATATGTGATAAGTTATATAGCATATGCGATGAGCGCATCATGTAGCATATGTGATAAGTGTTATATAGCATGTGATGAGCGCCTCATGATGACAGCCTATGTGATAAGTGTTATATAGCACATGTGATGAGCACATCATGATGACAGCCTATGCGATAAGTGTTATATAGCATATGCGATAAGTGTTATATAGCACATGTGATAAGTGTTATATAGCACATGTGATAAGTGTTATATAGCGTATGTGATAAGTGTTATATAGCGTATGTGATAAGCGTATCATGACAGCATGTGTGATAAGTTTTATATAGCATGTGATAAGCGTATCATGACAGCAAATGTGATAAGTATTATATAGCATGTGATAAGCGTTCCAGATAGCATATGTAATAAGTGTTATATAGCATTTGTGATGAGCGTATCATATAGCATGTGATAAGCATATTATATAGCATATGCAACAAGCGTACTATACAATGCAATGATAGCATATATTATAATGTGATTATGCGTCTGTCGTCTGTGTGATGTGATAAATGTATTATAGCATATGTGATATGTATGTTATATCATAGGTGATATGTGTGTGATATATATTATACATGAGTTATGCATATTATAGAACATGTATATAATGTATAAAACATGTACATAATATGTATATTATTTATGTATATATGTACTTTATATGTATGTATTTATGGTATATAACAATGTATAAGATGTATGTGATGTGTGTTGTATAAGATGTGATATATGTATATAAATTGTACACTATATGTATATAATAAATATATATACACACAAGTAACTGAATAAAACCTATGAAATCTACCTTTGTAATTCTGAACGCGGCAAATGGAGTTTAGTAAAATCAGAAGTCTCTTTTTTTAAAAATCCAAATTAATAAGTAGTCTTCATGACAGAGCACTTCTTCCTTCTTCCACCTGGTATTAAGCCCCATCACATACCGGGCACCATGCTAGATGCTGAGGGAACAGTGATGCATATAAGCTTACAATTGAATCAGCCATTAGACCATTAATGAGAGATGACTATTTTTAAATGTGACAAGTGCTACCAAGGAACTTGGGACTTGATACTTAGTGTGAGGGGTCAGGGAAGGCTTCCTCAGAGAAGTGACGTGTGAAATACGCTAGGCGCAGGAGTGCACTGAGGGGACTGTTCCAGGCAGAGAGGTAAGATGACAGCTGAGTCTCTAAAAGCTCGACATGTCAGCATTCTACTTCCTTGTCTTGAAATGTCAAGACACAAAGGAGCTGAACCTTGAAAACACTGTGCTAAGTGACAGTTGCCAGTCACAAAAGAGCACATATTGAGTGTGCATCCATTTACATGAAATGTCCATAACAGGAAGGAAGAAGATTGGTAGTTGTGTGGGTGAGTCAGGTGTGCCTGCTCAAATGTGTTTGGGGTTTTATAGGAGCTGATGAAAATGTCCTACATTTGATTGTGGTGATGGTTGCACTCTGAATACCATGGGTGGCCAAAAAATGTGGACACTTTGCTACATTGCTCAAGTTGTAATTTGCCGTCATCAGAAGTGTCTGGACGCTGATGGGAACCACTTTGAGCACCTCTTATAACTGCAGAAGTCAAACGTGACTTGTATTCATCTTTTGTTATCGGTATATATTGAGTATTAGAATTTTAATACAGTTTTTGTTTCTTAAAATGTGTATACATTTTTTTGGCGCCACTGGATAGGATGTGAACTTATCTGGATAAAGCTGTTAGAAAGAGACCGACATCCTTTCCTGCTCATGCCTACCTCTCCATGTTTTTGAAGATGTTGCACTGATCCTCCCGAGTGGTCAGCTGGAAGGCCAAGGCCGCGTGGTGGCTCTCCAGCACGGCAGTATCGTTGTACAGGATGGCCAGCTCGCTCCCCGCGTTGCAAAGGAAAGAGTTGGTTCTCCCAGGGTGGTCCACATCGTGAATGGTGGCCGCAATGAGGGCGGCGGCCTCATCGACTGGATCTAAAATTTGCTGAGAACAAGAGATCTTTCAAAACTGGGGCACTCCGTTGAGAGCAAGGAAGCCTTATGTGCATGTTCTTTCTGCCATATTACTTTAACCTAAGACTGTTTCAGATTTCTATTGTGCAAATCCAGCTTCCATGCCCCTCTGGTGAAAGTTGTTTGCCTAAGTCCTAGATTAGGAAACATTCCCAGAGTCACAGTCTCACACAAGCTAATGCAGAGATGTCCTCAACAGAGAGGAATAAATGGGTGGATTCTATGATGTGAGTCACAGCTCAATAAATGATATTAAAATGGTTTTAAGTTAACATACAAATATATATTCAGAAAGCTATCTACAGAGTGCAATACATTACAGCAAAAATTGGGTTGTCTTTATATGGTCCATAATGACACATGTCCTCCCCCTGCCATTTATTTTTGTACTTTATAAAACAGTCCCCTCTCTGGAATCCTATTCTCCCTCACTCCTGGTCATGAGCTTTCTTTAAAAACAAAACGATAAACCCTGGAGGGAGCAAGAAAAGGCAACTGAAAGATCAGCTCTGAGGTCTGCCCTATACTCTAGGGTAAGGAGCTAACATTTACTCAGCATGTGTGCTGGACATGAGTCTGAGGGGACAGGTGGGGCCCTTAGAGGGCTGTACGTGTCTATAGGTTCTGAGTGAGACACCCCCCCCCCCCCCCCCCGCCCAGAAACACAGCCCTCTCCATTTCTTGCTGTATTTCTCCCTGGGAACAATTCCCGCTCCTCATACTCCCAGTGAATGCTGGGGCCGTATCCTGAGTTAACACATCGACTCCCCAGAGCCCCATGCAGCCACAGCCTTCCTGGGCCGGGCTGCACACTGCAGGGACCGACGCTTCTGAGCAGTTGCACTGCATGGCGGCGGGGGCTGGCAGAGGCAGCAGAAACACAGCTCACCTTTATCCTCTCTCTGCAGAGGAAATAGGCCGTGGCGTGCAGCACGTCAGCAGAATGTGTAGAATTGTGGTAGGGGTTAGAAGAATGGTAGTTGGCTTCGATAATTTGTAACCATGATCTCAGCGTTGTCTCGGAGCAGTTTAAGAATTCACAGATTCCAAAGCGAGCAAAGATTTTGAGACCAAGATAAATTAAAGGCCTAGAGAGAAAAATATTCATAACATCAAGACATAGGCAAAGTGTCTGCAGCCCTGAACGGGTTCAGATCCAACAACTAAACCTGAGTCAGACTTCAGAGAGGGGGAGTAAGCACTGAGGCAGGGCTCACTGGGCGGCCAAGGTTTGCTCAGCCTCCTCCTCACACTAGTAGATTCCTCAGAATCTGCATGTTTGTCACCAGACTAAATTTGTGCCACTTTGAACCCTATCTTCTCTTTAGGACATGCTGAACCTACGCCACTGGCTAGATGTCCTGCCTGAAGAGAGTTAACAGTTTCTGATGAGTGCACCCAAGCCAGACACTGTCACATGCCACGTGATGGTCTTGACCATCTGGAGGTGGGTGCTGAGTATAAAGGTTTCCCCTTAGAAGTGGGGGATGGACTGGCCACCAAGTCGGGCCTTCCTTGAGAAGCCACCTGATCCAGCACCTGGCCTTTGGCTTGGGTGGCTGTGCTGAGGAGTGTCCGAGGTGATCAGGCTAATAGGACCTGAGGTCACCAGCCCTGACCCGATTCACATGAATGCCGTGTCACTAGTGTGTAAACCAGGTGCTCAGAGAGTCACCTGCTGTGGGGAGTTCTTTTCCACTGTCCGTGACTGTGCTGGGTGCGTGGAAGCAGACTGAGTATCACGCTGACTCAGCGTGAGCAAGAGGCGGGCTGCCCAGGGGACACGAAACCCAGACTGGGATGCGACCTGAGCATTATCCCATAGTGAGCCCAAGAGAGCACCCCGCTCCTCTCTTGTGACTGCCTCTGTCACCCTGAAGGGCGGCCTGGTCGGCACCAGCCATGACACCCCTCTCCTGTGCTCCCAATCAGCCCTAGCCCTTTGGTTAAGAGTTGTTGTCCAGCCAGGACAAAATTAAAGGTGCAGTCCCAGTCGTCCCCACTCTGTGGTCACACCCAGCCCAGGATGACTGGAGTTTTGGGTCTCCTCATGCCTGTCACCAACACAGCAACCGAGATCTGGGGCCAGCTCCTCTCCAATGACTGTGTTTGTGCATTTTTCATTTCTAGCTCTAGACGCTGGGTGGGGCTCTTTGCTGCCATTTCAACTTGTTACTACTTAGAGAAATCAACATCCATATTTTACAGAAAACACACTGCTGCTTAGAGAACTAATCTCCAGGAGTCCTGACCACGAAGACTCCCCCAGCTTCTCACCGATCGCCTTGCTGAGGCCCAGGCCCAGGTGACTCGGGGACACCTGCTGGCCTGCTCTGTTCTGAGCCTCCTTCCCCGGGGACCAGGGACCAGCTCTCTGCAGAACCCAAACTCGGGTGGCTTTCTCCACAGGCCCCTGGCACCAAGCTCTCTGTCTGCTGAGCTCCACGTGGACTCACCTTTTCTGAGTGGCAGCCTCCAGCTCAAAGATATTAAAGTCCCAGTAGTCCTCATTTTCCATGGCCCGAGCTATCCGCGGGGGGATGTCGTGAAGGGAAATGGGAGGGATTGGACTGCTCGAAACCTGCTGAAGGTCTGCAAAGTGATGGAATTGGGAGATGGAATCATGGCATTAACTGTTCCTGCAGAATAGTGCTTGGTTTCTGAGGTATGATGATATACCAAGACACTACTCACTGACGAGAAAAACTAAAAAATTTATTTTCATCATTTAAACTTGACTATAATTAACAGTGATGCAAAAAGTTAAAAAGGAAAAACTTACTTTTTGTTGAAAGAACACATTCATTCCCAGATAGTCTTCGCAAACCATCCTAATAAAAATCAAGAAAACAAGATAAAGAGAAGTCATAACTTTTCTTTACTTCCTGAGGACCCCTGGACAGTCGGTGCCAGAGGACAGCTCAGGGCAGCCCGGTCCATCAGTGCACCCCAAGGCTGACGGCCCTCGGTCACTCCCCTGGGAGCACAAGCCCAATGCTGAAAGGACCCGGTGAGGCAGGGGCAGGACAGTAGAAGGGGCCAGCCGGCACTGGGGACAGTTTGGTTTCTTAGGGGCAACACCCCTCTGCCCTTGACCCCTCTGCACCCTCTTCACCCTAATGGAAGCCAGGCTTCCTCTGGAAAGTTGGCTTCTTCCTCGCTGTCTGAGCACCTCACTCAGCCCAGCAGAATCATGGGGCGAGAGCTGCTCCCAGGCCACCAACACGAAGGTAACAAGACAGCAATGGAATGACAGCTGTTCTTCCCCGGTGAGACCTCTATACTAGCTGGGCTGGAGAAGCCATCCAGGACCCCTCGAGAGCCCATGTACAAAGCCCCTCCTGATGAAATGGTCCCAAGCCCTTCTTTCCCAGAGTCACCCAATCCACACAGGATGTTTGGAGGGAAACCATGCCCCTCCCTTGGGGCCTCTTTAAACATATACAGTCTTTCCGGTTTGTAATGTGGTATGTAGCATTTCATGTCGTTTTTCCTGCCCCCGTCTTCAGAATCTTTAAAATAATTAAGTTTTATTTAAATAAATAACTAGTAGAACCCCTCTAAGCAAAAATGGAGCACCGGCTCAGCAGTGTCTAGAAAACGCTCCTCCCTTTCTGTTCCACACTGAGGTCCCTGGGTGGGAGGCAGCAGATGGAGGACGGCTATGGACAGAGGACAGCGAGCCCGGGCAACGTGCAGAGAGCTCGGTGTCGCAGCCCGTGAGCAAATCCCTGGAGAACAAATGGGAAGCAGCCTGGCCAGTCCACTCACAGACATGAGACCCCCGACGAGGTCGTTGGCATGAGGGTCGTCGTCCTTGGCTCCAAACTGCGGTGAGTATAACTCAGTGGTTCTTAGGATTTCCAGCACGCGATCCAATGCTTCTGTCACAGTCACAGGGCTGTTTTCCTGGGCAGCATTGATAATATTGATTACCTACAATATGGAAAGAGAAGAGTTTTTATAACCTTAAAAACAATGGAACAGCAATCCAGGGTCAGCCTGGCCAGGGCACTCAAGGCTGACAGACCAGGTAACTGTTCATGCCACATGCCTAGGACAGTGCTGGGATTGTCGTGGGTCCCCGTTTTTCCCCATTGGGGACAATCAGCGGGGAGAACCAAGAACGACTGTGCTCAGTGGAGGCCTCACCTTGGTGATAGGCGCCTCGATGGTCATGGAATGTATCCGGGCCATGGAGGAGTGTCGTCTCTGGCTGGTCACTGTGGACAGATCATATGAGCAGAGGTCAGGGCAGGCCCAGCCGAGGGCTCCGCCCCCCGCCCCAGCCTCCGTGTGCCCAGCTGCACAGGGAGGGGTAGGAACAGAGCTACACAGTCACTGAGCTTCCTTCCCATCCTAACAAGCCTGGGATCCTGGCATAACCAACTCCGCTTCCTTCAGTTCTAGGCACAGGATGCACGTGCCCCCACAGATCGAACATCTGACGTCACCGACCAGAGAGAAAACAGAGGGGACAATCCAGTAAGCCACGGCCAAACAGTGAGCCTCTTTCGTGTTTCTAACAATAAGGCTTTAGAACTCTCCAGCTTGCCGCGCTCCAGGAGTAAGAATGTTTTGGAAGATAGTTACACAGACTCTTTGTCTCATATATGGCAAGAGCGAGAAATACAACTCATCATGAACTGAAATACATGACTTTCTGGTTACAGTTTTCAAGGCACCCTTTGGTGCTTTCCACCGTTAGGCTTAATCTAGCATAATTAGGTAAATACCTTAAACAAGGCAAGCAGCAACGCCTAGGCTCTAAAGTTTGTTAATTTTTGGTTGCTCCTGTCAAAGTGTGGTCCCTTTGGGGTGGGGAGAACCCGAGCAGTGCCCAGGCAGGAGAAAATTTTCACATAGAGTTCTGTGTGTCCCCCTGAAAGCCCCACTGTCAGGCCTTACAGGACCACAGCCGGGTGTGACAGCCTCGTGTTCCCAGACCAAGGCCCAAGGAGAAGCACCGTGCAAGGCTAACCAATGCTTTAAATGTTGGGGACCGACAAAACTCTTTGTCTAATTTTGGTGACCAGCATATGGTTGTCAACTTTCCATTTTACCCAACTGGTCATTAAGCCAAAAATAAAAACCACTGTTTTAGCACTATGTCATAAAAGAACTTGTTCTCATTTTAAAATATAATGAAAGTGACATATGCTTACAAAAACCAAACAGTAATGTAAATATTAATAAAGTTAGAAAAAGAAAAGGTATAAAGTTGTCGTGACTCTGTATGCAGAAACATCTGTACAAACACTAACTACCCTTACGATCACTGAGTAAGTTTATCAAGCTCACTTGGTACAAGGTCAACACATCAACGTGTTTCTGTATGCTAGCAACAAACAGTTGGAAATTAAAATAAAAAGCAACCACTATGATGTGACAGCATCAAAAAACACCAATATTTAGGAATAATGCTAATGAAAGATGTGCAAGATTTATATACTGAAAATGCAAAACACTGCTGAGAGGAAATAAAGACACTGAAGCAGAGGACAGAACTTAACCCCACCCTTTCAGTCCCTGAGTGAGATTTCCATTTTCCCCAAATACTATAGGTTCAGAGCACTTCATAGGATTTTTTTTTAGATAAAAATCCAAGAGGTTTTGTGTGTGTGTGTGTGTGTGTGTGTGTGTGTGTGTGTAAACTAAAAACAATTCTAAACGTCATATGGAAATGCAAAGGATCTAGAATAGCCAAGATAGAAGAAATTTACACTACCTGGTATCAAAACTTTCCATAAGGTGGGAGCAATTGATAGCACTGGTACAAGCACAGACTAACAGAGCAATGACAAAGAACAGAGTCTGGAAACAGGCCATAGACTAGGAGTCACCTGATTTACAATAATGATGCTACTGCAAAACATGGCTTTTTTCAATACAGTGAGGGGGAAATTGGATTTCCACGTAGGGGGATTCATCCTTGATCTCTACCCTTACCAGACGTAAAAGTTAATTTGAAATGGATCACAGACCTAAAGTGGAAGATAAAACAATAAAGGTTGATCTTGGTATAGAGAAAGATTTCTTAAAAAGGACACAAGCTGTGAAAGAAGATACTGACAAAATGAACTTTATTAAAATTAAGAATCTCTGTTCATTAAAAGACCATTAAGAGAGTGGAAAGGCAAACCACAGACTAAGAAAACATATTTGTGACACATACATCCAATAGAGGACCCATATCTAAAAGAATTCCTACAAACTAACAAGAAAAAGATAGGCTAATTATAAAAATGGGTAAAATAGTTGAACAGTACTCCACAAAAGCGGATACCCAAATGGGCAATAGGCATAGGAAAGGGGTGCCCAACCCCACTAGTCATCTGAAAAATTAAAACCCCATAAACAGAATGCCTGAAATTTAAAATGCTGGTATAACACAGTATGGGCAGATTAGAAGAGCTGGAACTCCTATATGAATGACAGAGCGGGACATGCTACAACCCAGGTGGAACCGTTTGCAGCTGCCCAAAGGCCCAGCAAACACACGTGTCCACACAAAGAGCCTTGTATGAAAACACTCATGCTGCTTTATTCTTAACAGCCCCAAAGGGAAAGATGAACACAGACGCCCATTAAGAGAATGGGTTAACAAACTGGCATATTCATATAACGGGGTACTACTGAGCGAGAAAATGAATGGACTACTGATACCTCTAGCAACACAGATGAATCTCAGATACACTGACATGAGGGAAAGAGCCAGAAACCAGGAGTACAGGCTCTGATGCCACTCCGTGGAGCACAAGAGGCCAAACGGATTTACGGTGCTAGCAATAAGGGTTTGCCTCCGTGGTAACGGTGTGTGGGGGAGAAAAAGGGTGTATATTTTCTGTATCTGTGTTGGGTAGTGGTTACATGAGTGTAGAGAACTGTCAAAACTCATTGAACTGAACACTTAATATCTGAACTTTATGATACGTAAATGATAGCTAAAAAAGAATAGTGGTTAAAAACCAAAAACATTAAAAGGAAAACGTTTAACTCTTCTACAGAAATGGACAAAGTCATCCAAAGGATGAGAAGAAGTTAAGAGTGTGGTGGTGAGGATGGCTGTGGGCCTAAGTGACCTGGCCCCTGCCCTGCAGAGGATCAGGGGCTGTGACCTGACAGCCAGGATGAGGAAGATGACGGCCGCCACCACTGCCGTCACCAGGCATTGCACACACTGCTCTGTGGACAATGTAATTATCCCCACTTTACAACGAGGAAATGGCAGCACAGAAGCTGCTGGGACTTGGATCGAGGTCATTGTGAGGTCAGAGCCCATGTCCTTCCCTGGGCCTCCCTGCTGGTGCCACACGGCACGTCTGACCCTCACAGCAAACCTGTGAGGGACATCAGGGCAGGTGCTGGATCTCCACTGTATAATCCAGTTGTTATTGCCCTGGAAAATTCTGGCTTTTTGTCTAGTAACAACTCCGTACACTTCCCAGTTCATCTTTGGGTCAAAGAAAGCACACAGCTAGCGGTAATATTTGCTTCCACACTATCTAAGTAATTTCAGTACATTTTTAAGCTACTCAATCATTCAGGCCACATATCTACATAATCTTTAAAAATTATGTTCTGGGCCGGCTGAGTGGCTCAGTGGGTTAAGAGCTCGCTCAAGAGTTTGAGCTCTGAGCAACAGCAGTTCAAGTCCCGGCCCGAGCTGAGCAGCCGCTGAGCTGCCAACAGGTGGCAGGATGGCTCAGCTAAAAAAAAAAAAAAAATTTGTTCCAATTAGAACTGAAATAATATTTGCTTAAATCAGTCTTTCACACGCCAAAATGCAGCTCACCTCCCCACCCAAAGCGAGGCCTCTATGGAAAATTGCACCCCACAACAAAATACAGTGAGTTCTCACTTAATGCTGTTGATATGTTCTTGGAAACTGCAATTTTAAGCAAAATGACATATAATGAAACCGGTTTTACCCGGGGCTAACTGATAGAAACAAGAGTTAAGTTCCTACTGCATACTTCTGGTCACAGAAACATCACCAGACTTCTAATATTAAACACGGAAATAAATGTGAGCTGTACATATACTTAAGATGAATAAAAACAAGTGAGATCATTGTTTCCCAACCCGCTTATTCCAGTTCAGGGTGACAGGGGGCGCTGGACCCTCTCCCAGCAGCTCAGAGCACCAGGCGAGACCCCACCCTGCATCGCAGGGCCACCCACACCCCGAGTCATCAGACTGGGATAGTTTAGACACCCCAGTCACCTCATGTCACATCTTTGGGACATGAGAGGAAACTGGGACCCTGGGGAAAATCCACACAAGCCTGGGAGGAACGTGGACACCCACACAGTGGCCCTGCCAGGAGTCGATTTTTTTCCTTATCATTATAAAAAACGATGTTGAACAAAACAGTGTTACTTAAGGAGCAGCTGTATGTTGTTAAGAATTTCCAAATGCATTACAGCAGATAAACTGACACCTTCCGCTCTTACATTTTAGGAAATCAACTCTTGAATAGATAGTAAAATATACCTTTTTTTCCTTTATTCCCTGACCCCATCAAAAGGCTCAGAGTGGAGCCCAGTGGCAGGAGTTGGGGGCAAGGGAGAAATGACACAGGTTGCCAGAGGCTCCTCTCCCCTGTCCTGGACTGGGGGTGTGCAGTGGCCTGGAGATGAGGTGGGGAGAGGTTCCGGGTCTGCGTGCGTCCCACTCTGGGTGATAATATGCTCCCCTCTTGTCCTTGGCACCTACCTTCACTCGCTCGAGCGCCACCAGCCCTGATGTCTAGTGAGCTTTTTCTCTTATCTTTATGTTTGCCCGACTGATTATCTGTGGAAGCAAATTATAAATCACCTCGTCAACGGGATTTTAACAACATGTTAGGAAAATTATTAATCTAAAAATGTTTTAAACAAAACTTAATTACAACACCATGTAAGATGCCACAAAAATCAGCCCAGCACAGAGAGGCAGACTGTAAACGATGAAGTTTTAAGGGGACTGACTTTCTCAAAATGTCCCACCTGCTACAATCATAAACGAGTGCTTTACAGCTTCCAAGTGACACAATTAAAGGAAAAACTAGCAGAAATGAACTCAGGAGAATTTCTCCTATTACACATCTACATAATTGCATAAAATGGTAGGAAAAATTTGATCTGTATCCACACTTGTCCCAAAGGGAAAAAGAAAAATCTTTTATGTATTTTTTTCTACAATACAAGATCTAAAATGTCTCAGGGGAGAGCGTGACTCTTTTTGAGGGTAGTAGAGGGAACCCTGGATTGGGGTATCTGTCCAAGGACAGCATTCTTTCCCCCTCTCTGACCCCCTACTTTCTTTGAACAGCACCACTGTTCCCCTGGTCAGACCCTGACCCCACGCCAATCAATGACAAGGCAGAGCTGACCTTCCTTCCTGCCCCCTCCTCTGTGCCATGTGAGGTGCTGAGCCTCTCCGACCTGTCCCCATTTCACAGACGAGGAAACTGGGAGCCGCAGTGCTGGTGAGTGAACAGCCGGGCTCTGGCGCAGGTCTTCCCACCTGCGGGGTGCATCTTCCCAGCCCTGGCCCGGCTTCCTCCCCTGCAGCCCTGCTCACAAGCAGGACCAGATGCAGGCCCTTCATTGCTACTTGCCACACTTTCTTCTACATGGGCACTGGCCATGAACTTATCACAGTCACGGCCGACCTCCGTGTTGCAACATCTGAAGGACACGATTCAGTTCTCACCTGATTGGACCTGACTGTGGTACCGGACGCAACTGACCACTCCAGAAACTCCCGGTGTGCGCAAGTCCACGCTCCCCTGGTTTCCTTCCCGACTCCCTCTTCCTCAGTAGCCCCCACCCCCACCCCGCAGTGTTCCCAAATGTCTGTCATTAGCCCTTCTCTTCCGGGACAATCCCCCCAGGAGATCCCATCCTTCCTACAGCTTTTAAGTAATTCCTGTGTTGCCGTCTTATCCTAAGCTCCAGGCTTTCATCTTAACTGGCCACTGGTCACCTCTATTTGGACATGCCTCAGGCACTTCAAATGAAGTCATTATCTTCTCCCAAAGCCACTCTTGATCCCAGGTCACTGAGCAGCATCCACCGTTTTGCTTAATTTGGAGACAAGTCATCCATGACTCCTCCCCTCTAGCTCCTCTCCCTCAATCTATGGATTCAGTCTTGTAAACACCTCTAATCTATCCCTGCGCAGACACTCGTCATCCTCGTCCAGATTATAATGACGCGCTCCCTTCTTTAGTCCCACAGCCCTTGACCTTAACCCCTTCAGCCCCTTCCCTGTAGGCAGCCTAGTGACCCTTCTGGAACAAAACCCTGACCAGATCATTCTCCAAATTAAAACATTCCGATGGCTCACTATTGTTTACAGGATAAGGTTTAAGCTCCCCAGTGTGGCACCCAGAATTGTGATCTCTGGACCCCTTTCCTCAGCCAGCCTGGACTATTTCTGATGTGCGGGTTCACCTCCCAGCCTCTCTGCCTTGGCACAGACTGCTTCCCTCCCCATGGGGCTGTACCTCTCCCTCGCTGCCTTCTTCACCCGCTTCACTGTCACCCTCTGTTAAGATGCGGCCCAGGTATCATAACCTTCAAGACATCGTCCCCTACTGCCTCTTGACCCCACCTAACACTTCCGGGAACCGCTGGCTTCGTTGTCTGTCTCCCTCACCAGCCGGGAAGGACACAAGGGCAAAAAGTCGGCCTTCTCCTCACTAGGTGACCGGCACTGCCCAGCATGGAACAGACGCTCAATAGATACACGCCTGCCTCTCCACACCTGCAAACTCCTGCACATAGATCAAAGCACCACTAACCATAACTGCTCTGGGGCCCTGGCTCCCTTGCTCAGAACCCTCTAGCACCTCAGATAAAGAGGGACGTGCTGGCACTCAAGGACAGGGACAGTCTGGTCTTGACCACATGTGGGCTGTGCCAGCACAGCTGCGCCCCACTCCGTCTCAGGAACGGCCTTGACACCTGCTTCTCCTGCCTCCGACACAGGACACTGTGCCCTCCCCAAACCCTCGCTCCTTCAAGGCGCCCCTCCCCTCAGCCACACACACAGCCAAGCGTGTCTCCTTCCTCAGTGCTTCATGGAGATTAATGGAGATTAACTAATGTCCACTCAGCTGCCTGAGGAGATGGGGAGACGAGGCTGGGAACTCCGTCGTTCCTTCATTCTTCTCCTGTTAGCCACTCAGCACACATTTACTGGGCACCTACTATGTGTCAGGCCTTAGCCAGGCATTAGGGATGAGGAGTTGAATAAGGGATGGTCTGGAGGGAACAAAGGTGGGGGATCTCAGAGCTGTATACAGCAGTTTTGGGGTGCAGGAGCCCGGAGGAGGAAGTGACAGATTCTCCTCTGGGGGAGGGGCAGAGAGGAGACAAGCCAAGAAGAAAAGGAAACTTCCTGTGCAGATGGAGCAGAGCCTGGCTGGAGAGAAGCGAGAAGCAGCGTGTGTGCTGAGGATGGGGCTGTGGCAAGAGTGGAGGGAGGTGCAGCAGGCTTTCATTTCTCCTGCACATTTTAAGGTGCCTTTATCTCACATAAGTACTAGATCTGCCCCCCCCCACACACACACACACAGACGCACACGCACCCTGTCCCTTCAGCACCTTTGCTGCGGGGACGCTGCTCCTGCTGGGATCGCCTGGCTCCCAGAGGCTGGACTCAGGAAGGCCGAGGGAAGGAAGCCCAAGTGTGAGGCTTACAGCCCCTGACGAAGCCGAGTACAGGCCCTCCTCCTGCCTGTGGGTGCAGAGAGTTCAGACTGACATCTGGCCTATCCCTGCAGATGCTAAATAGGCCTCCACAGACCAGGGCTGGGGCACAGCACCACCTGCCACTTCTAGTCTCTGCTCTCGGTTTAGAATGCAATCCTTCCACACTGCCCATCGCCTCAGGACAGAGAAATGAGCAACATTTCATTGGCCTGTTGGGTAAATCCAGGGAGCCCTGCGGAAGCTGTGAGTGGTAACCATGTGGCACCCTCCCGGCAGCAGCTGCCTCCATTCCTGCATGAACACAGGGGTCTGGCAGGATGGGCTCCTTTCTGAGTCTGAGGAAGCTGAGAACCAGGCTCTTACAGGACTTGCCCCAGAGCCCCTCTGCTGGGAACACAGCCCTCAGCAGCTCCAGCATTTGTGGGCTGCTTGCTCTGCATGGGGACCACTTCCTCCCAGGAGTCTCCACCAACCTCCAAACTGCCAAGTCCACAGCCGCTTGTCAGCCCTTGTCCTCCCCGGGCTCTGCAGTCTCAGACACGGGACCACCTCCTCTTCCTGAGAAAGCTCCCTTTCTCCACATGCAGAGGGGCACTCAACCTCCTCTCCGTGGTCCGTGAGGCCTCTGCCAACAGCCCCAACCCTGGCTGCATGAGACCTGGAAGAGCGCGGAACCCCCATTCCCCACCACCTGACCTGAGACTTTCTAACCACCTCCTCGTGCCCTGTCCTGCCCGTGTCCCTGCTGCAGACACACACACACACAAACACACAAACACACACACACACACACAGGATGCAGGTTTCTCATGAACAGACATGTCCCTGCTGCCTGGCACCTGGTGGCTATGCACAGAGCTTTGGCTGAGACTGAATGCCATGTCCTGCCTCCCCATCCCTCCCTTAAATGCCTGTTGCTGCTGGTTTCATCCTTAGCGCCGTCTTCCTGCCTCACTTCCTCTCGTCAGGAGAGCTGGCCCCAGACCCCAGGCTTTGGCCACCTCCACAGGCCACCAGACATCTCCACTGGAATGTTCCAGGCACCTCAGATGTACTAAGTTCAAGTCTAAACTCATCCTCTCCCTGGACAAACGTGCTCTTTCTCCTGCACTATTGTCAATAATGTCATCCAGGGGCCATGCCAGAAATCCTGGTGACATTATGAGTCTTTCCTCTGTAGCCCTCATCAAGCTGGTTGCCATGTCCTACTGATTATACCTCCTATCTCTTGAATCCAGTCTCTCACAGTCTCTTTAGCTCTTTTCTCCGTGCCAGCACCACGACAGGCTTTCTAAGAAGTGGCCCCTTTTACTCGCCTACTAAAGCCCCTCCCAGGCCACCTCTGCTTTCAGGATAAAGTGCATACTAGCCTGGCCCAGCCTCGCCTGCCTCCCCGTCTGTGTGATGCTCTTTCTGAATGACCAGACACCAGCTCAATCGTCACCATGGCTACACGGTGTATTCACAGATCCCTACCTGCCATCAGAAACTGCACCCCACGTTCACATCTGGTAAGCCTGTCACCAGGCTCAAGGCCCAATCCCGACCAGTTGAAAGTTTACAGACCAGACAGTTGTCACACTGAGTGTCTTTGGTGAGACACAGTAGCATGTGAAAACAACACATGGGCCTGGAAAAAGTGGACACGTGTTGGGAATTTGTTGTTTTTCTGGACACTCAGAATCTGAGCCCCCTTTCCTGAGAGACCTCCTTGTTTCCTTCCCCAATGAGTGCTCCACCCAAGAGCAAAGGCACCAGGGAGCCAAGAAGCCAGGCTGTCCGTGGTGCTGGCAGCAGCACCCTGAGCTAGGGCCTTGGCACAGCCACTGGTACTGGCGGTCGCACCGCAGCACCGCCATGCCTAGGCCACACCTCAGGCAGCAGGGACAGTCGCCCAGGTTCCTGTGGTTCCTGATCTTTTCCTCAGACTGGTTCTTCAGCTTTCTTGTCCAATCTGTGAGTCACCCCATTTTCCTTCTAATAAACTCCTTTTCTGCTTAAGAACCGATTGTCGTGGAGCATGACCAAGGACCCCGGGTGGTCCACTGCCCTCCCAGGGCAAGGCAATCAGCTGAGTCTTTCGGAAATAGAGCTGGTTAAGCTGCCGAGGGGCAAGGAGACTGGACAGCCAGCAACCTCATCGGGGTGAGATGGGCACGGGGTCTAGAAAATGACAGAATGGCCCAGCACAAAAGCGGTCTGGGGGATCCCTCCCCAGCTGAACATCTTCCGTGACCATGTCACTGACCTGCCGTCTAGTCCCAGCTCTGTCATTTCCTGGCTGCCCTGGCTTCAGCCCCTGCAGGTTGGCTTCTGGCCTCACCGCTCTCCCAAACCTGCCCTTGTCCAGGTGGTAAATAAGCTCTTGGATGCAAAAGCCAAGGTCTCTCTCCATCTCTGGCTCTGCACACCCCTCCTTCTTTCCTCTGTGCAATTTGGCCCTGACCATGACACATGTGTCCCCATCCTCCCCTCCCCTGACTCAGGGACACCCTCTAGGTTCTCGCTCCCTCTGACCCTAATGCAGGGGGTCTCCAGGCACCTGCCTTGCCCGCTCCTTTTCCTGGGTCACCTCAGGGGGGTCCCCTCCCCTTTACCATCTCTGGCTCAATCTCATCAGTTCCACATCTGAGCTACTTGGTGATGCTTTGCTGGCAAAAATTTACATGTCTAGTAGTGATCTCTGCAGCATACAGAAACCAGGGTTCCAGGGCCCACTGGGTATGCAATAGAAATGTGCAGAATGAAGGAGTAGATGAGTGCACACACACACCCAGGACCTCCCGAGTAAAGCCTTCCAGCCATGTTCCCCAGCCTGACTGCCACACCTGTCCAGCTTCACAACCAACCTCCCACAGCTCTTCCTGGCTTTGCTCTCGCTGGTCGCACACCATCATCACACTGGGCCCTCCTGCCTTCCTCCTGTCGCCACCCGTTTCCTCTCCCGTAGACTACGCGATGTTAGCATTTCCGTCCCCGGTCGCTCCTTCCACACAATCTGTGTCACACGTGAGCTTCTGAGAGTGCAGACATCATGCTATTCCCCGGCTCCCACTGCCTACAGACAGAAATTCTCATTTCCTACCCAGTGTGCAGGGATCCTTCAGGGTCCCACCTCCTCTTCCCACACTGACCCTTCATACCAGTCAGAGCCCACCCTGACTCTTTCTGGAACACTCTGTACTTCCCTCTCCTGTGCCCGTATTTCCTTCTGGAGTGCTCTTCCTTCCATACCGTCCTCTCACTCAGACCCCGTGTCCCTGTCCAGAACTCGCCCCTCCTCCACGGACCGCCATGGCACCACTGGCCCTTCCTCACCCACACTGATCACCTCTTATTGCTTGCTATATGTCCCTTAGCATCAACCTGTCTCTCCTTTCCACATAAAGCCCTGGTCATTCTTGGGGCGCTCACGAGAACTGTCCCAGCATGTGCTCAGGGCTTCTGGAGTGGGCCACTTGGATCAGGTGCCACTTCCTAGATGGACATCCTTGGGAAAATCGGTTAGCCTTTCAGTTTCCTAATCTGTAAAGAAGGAGCTTCACCTAGAAAATGCCTACCCACTGGGTTATCGCAAGGCTTCAACTAAACACACTCAGCAAAGAACCTTGTACACAGTAAATACTCAGAAAATACGTGGGCACCATTCCTAGAATGAATGAATGAACTGTTTGGGCTGCAGAAAGCATGCCCCCCACAGCTGAAGGGATGAAAGACAGGCCAGCTGGGCCCCGGAGCCCTGCCCAGGCGTGGCTTGGTGTCTGTAGCGGGGCACCGCCAGCCTGCCGGAGCGCCGTGGTCTGTGTGCGGCTGCAGAGGACCTGCCCCAGCACAGCTCGACGCCTCCCAGTACAGGCAGGCGGCCTGCTGAAGCTGTGACACACGCATAAAGCCAACAGGCTGGTCCAGGTCGGGGGAACCATGTGCAGGAACACAGATGCAGGGAGGAGCAGCGGTGCCCAAGGCACAGGAGGACACAGATGGGGATGAGGCAAGTCTGACAGGTCCAGCTCCCTCCCTGCATGATGGTCAGGGAGGTGACTGATGATGGTCAGGAGGTGAAGATATCCCTGCTACAGTTCTGCAGTCAGACCCCCAACACTTGCCTCTTAATGCACAGGCCAGGCCACCAAACCACACTTCACTCAATGCGTCTTCACGCGAAGCTCATGCATTTGAGGTGACCAGCTCTCTCCCTACAGGCGGAGCCCCACCCCAGGACACCTGTCAGAATGCCACCAAGCACTCAGGTCTCCATGGACGCACCAAGCAGTCTGGGGAGCTAGGGAGAGAAGGGTCACCACGGAGCCGGGAAATCCAGTCCCACCGATGCACCGGGCAAGCTGGCCAGAGCAAGAGTCTGATTTCACTTTACTTTTTTCAAAAGCTCAATGAACCCTAAGAATGAATATGGGGCACCATACCTGTGTGAGTGTCAGACTGAACACATTCAGTTATTTTCTCAGCCTAAAAATAAATTTCAAAAGCCGTTAGTTCTGATTGCCTAAGGATGAGAGAGTGGAATCTTGCTGGGGTGCAGCTGGGGTTCCCAGGGTTCTCCTTACATACCTTATTGTTGCCACTGCACACTCTGATAATGGACACATAGTGTCTAATTTTTCTGCAAGTAGAAAACAATGCATTATTTCTCTCCCGGCTCTCTATTCGGATGGCTACGTAGCTACTTTTTCATTATGAAGAGAGCATCTCTCTTCCACAATACACAAAGTGCTCTGAGAAAAGCATCTATGGTTCGTGGCCAAGGCCACCAATAAACAAGCGTCTACAAACACCCTTTGGTGTTTCTGTCAGAAAGAAGTAGACTCCAGTAAAAACAACAAAATTCTTCTAAGTCATCCCAACATAGAACAAAAAAGACCTATGTTTAAAAGAAGTGCTGCATGTTAGCCACCCAAAAGCCTGCAATTCCTTAATGTGTATGCATTTTCCCGACCCTGCTACTGATGCTCTTCTTCCCGTTCCTCTGCGCCATCTGCTCAGTCATTTCATTCACGGAAACAGCCAGAGGCCACGCTGGGCCCCTCGGTTAGCGGTTAGCGGAGCCAAAGCAACGGGGCTTATCTCAGAAGCTGCTGACTCCTCACTTATTGTCCCTACAACTTTTTTTCAGTTTTCCCCCTCAATAATCAAATCCCTATATACTTATCACACAAAAAAGTTTCGGAAAGGATATAAAAAGGCAAAGAATCAGAACAGAGAGCCCACACAGACCCAGCTCCCTGAGGCAACCACCAACTGGCAGCCAAGTCTGGTGACGGAGCACGTGGGCCGTGCAGTCACACAGAGGTCTCAGCCAGCTCTGCCAAGCGCTGGCAGCCAGACCTGGGGCCAGAAACCTCGCCTCAGTTTCCTCATCTGGAAATGGAGATGGTCACAGTGCCACCAGCACAGGGCTGTGGTTAGGATGAAATGAAGTGACGTGGCTCTGGCACTGGGACTGCTCAGGGAGGGAGGTCTCCACACACAGCAGCAGCTGTCAGAACCACCATCGCCACACAGCCTCCTATCCGTTTTACCTTCTTCCATCTCTGTGATTGAGATCATGCACTAGATAGGATTTTACATTTTCATTTTCACACTTATCATAAGCGTTTTTCCTTGTAACTTATTTTTCTATGATCATTTCTAATGCTTGCACATTTTATTGTTGGGTGTTCTATAATTCATATTCATAATTTCCCACTGTTCATATTATTTGAGATAGATTCTAAAACAAACCACAGGAGATTTTTAGGCTCACTGTATACACTGGTTTCCAATCTGCAGTCACATCTGTTTTATATGAGTTTCTGCAGATGGTAGCATTTAAAATACTCGTATCTAATTTGATAGGTCTATGCAGCAATAGCACATAGGCTGTCAAATTAAATAGGAATCTTTCAAATGTGGGGAGTTCATCAGCCAGTGTGCTTATCGCACAGCTTAATAAAGTGACATTCTGATTTAAATACATTAGTCCCCTGTGTGTCTGTGCAGCATAAGCAAAAGCGTCCAGAGTCTGGTGGCTCTGGGTTGCCAGCTAGAGGATCAGGCTGCAGCAATGGGGAAGCCACTGTGGAAGGCCACTCTTGGGTGACACCTGACCTGTTACAAGTCTTTCAAATTTCTGCATGCAGTTCTTAACTTACTCAAGTATTCAAAGCACATTTTACAATAAGCCAAACATGGTACACTGACCAGAGAACTTGTTTTTTCCACTTACCCTCCCTGTCCAGTGACAGGTATTATCTTCACATTTTGTTGTACGTTATCTCCATTTTGGGCATAGTAAATTCCTTGCCACTCCTATAAATGGAATGTAAGCATCATTATACTTTGTGTTCAAAACATCAACCCAAGAATACTTCCACTCCAGGTTCCGATTCATTTACCATTGTTAAGGCAATTAGGATAAAAATGATCCCAACCACAAATACAATTTTGAGTAATCTGACAATTCTTCCTCAACCTCCCAAGTGCATCTCCTCCTGGGCTGCTGACAAAAGCCAGGTCACCACAGTCTAAATGGTCACATGTTTTCAGTGGCCCATGAGTGAAGAGCACTCCCTTGGTTCAGCACACAGGCTCCTCCTACGAGCTGCAGTGGGGGGTTAGGTGGGGGAGCGGGGGACATGGCTGCATTCCGGAGGGGGAGAATCAGAACCAGGCAGCTAGCAAAGTGGGCCGCTGCCACCCTCTGGGATGGGTTTTGGTCCCTCTGCTGGTAGGGTGGGGATGATGAGGTAACAGCTAGGACTGGGCTCAGGTACAACAAATAGGTGAGACCTTATAAGCCAGGGCTGCGATTACATTAGTCGTGCTCTCAGGGCAGACAGAATTCAGGATTCTCTCAGAACAGAGCTGCAGTCTGGGAGAGCAGTGTGTGTGGGACTCGACTGCAGTGGGAGAACAGGGGCTGCAGGGATGGCGGGAAAAGACTGGGATAGAGCTGGTTTGTTACCACCCACAAGGTTTTGAATTCCTCCAAGAGTCACCAAGGGTCCTTAAGCTAGAATATTCCCTAAAACCCACTGTAGGACACGAAACTTCCAGGGTGTTCCATAACCTTCTTGACCTTCCAGAGTCTCTCAGGACCTAGAGCTGACCCAGGCAGAATGCCCACCATGGCAGCCTTGGTGTCTTAGCTCAAATCTCCCACCCAGGCTCTTATACAAGGTCAGTCCCACAATCTTCTGTGCTTGGGCCGGGGCGACCTGCCTGCAAAGGCCAATGATAAAATCTCATCATCAGATTGCTCTGGGAAAGTGGATCCAGGAGAAACCAAGACTCTGACCGAGCAAAGGTTACTGACGCTCCCTGGTATACGTCTGAACACAATGGGCACCAGAAAAGGACTGAGTGAAAAAATAGCCGGAGAGCCCAACGCGGTGCTCGCTTGCCCTGGAGCAGAAGGGAGGTGAGGGCACCGTTCACTCAGTTCTGAGGGGATATGGCCTGTGCTGGAAACAGGCAAGGAGTGAGCAGGGACGCTGAGGCAGGAATGCAGCCAGTCCTCCATGATACATATCCACCTCCGGGGGCAACGGCAGGCAGGCCTGCGTCCCTTCTGAAGCTCACCATCAAGAGGAGCAGGGGAAGCCGACTGTGGTGATAGCTGCAAAGCTCTGTAAACATACCAAACACCACTGAACTGTATATTTTAAAAGGGTAAATGGTGCGGTATGTGAATTCTCTCTCAATAGAGCTGTTAGATTAAAAAAAAAAAAGAGGGAGAAATATGGGAGACCAATAATCAGCACTTTAAAAAACATATTCAGGTTTTTCTCCTCCAATCCTTTCTGAATAGACGTGGGAGGCTGCCAGATCCCAAGCCGGGTGTAAGAGGCCACATCAGCCAAAGCTGAACAGTCCAGTTAACACAGCAGGACAACTTAGCAGTGACTTTGCTTGGAGAGCAGAGTTGCCTGTAAGTTTTCCAGCCATCAATGAAAATAAAAAATATTTACGTGTCATAGATCGTATTTCTTATCAAAAATAAACATTGACCTATCATAAACAGATAAGTTTTAGCTCCTAAGAATAACAAAGTACTGCCTTCGAATGCTGTTAGGAAGATTCTATCTGGTGATACACACACACAAAAAGTGCTAAGCAAAGTCCTGACACGTGGCAAACATTCGATAAATGGCCTGTCCCGACACGCGTGGTTTCACACAGGCCCCTTTCCGGGCCGAGCTCCCGAGTACTACGGCATGCGCCTCCCTGCTGCTCCAGGCAAGCCAAACACCACGCTGGGCTTTTCTGACTATTGAGATAGTCCCTTCTCTGTGCCCATCGTCTCAGGAATTAGACCATCGTCACCTGGCATCCCATCCACAGGGCCAGACAGTGCCTGCATGTGGCAGACAGTCAAGGAGCACTTGGCGCTTCTGTTTACTGAGTGCAAAAGGTAGGCCGAGGTGAGACCCCAGGATCCTGGTGGCTCGGCTAAGAGGTTTAAGCTCCATTGTGAGGGAGTGATGTGGTCAAAATGATGACTTGGTCAGACAAATCGCTCAGTAGTGTTGGGTGGACTCGCCGGACGTGGTGGGTCACGGGACAGGGAGACCTGGCTGGGTTCAGTCACCATGACCTCAGGGTGTGGACAGAAGGCCCTGGGCAAGGTCAGGGCCAGGCCGTGGCCAAAGGCAGGGCTTAGGAGACACCAAGGCCTGGTGATGGATTTGCGGGAGGAGACTAAAGGGTGGAGAGGAGCCAGAGCCATCCCCGAATCAAAGCCCAGGCAACTGGGAGAAGGTGCACAAGCAGACACAGCAGGGGCTGCAACGGCCAGTCTTCTGTGAATGGAGATGAGGGAAAATCATTGTTAGGCAAGTTCATTTCCACAGGACGGTGGCATGGTGAACCAGACCTTGGAAAAGAGGCTGGGGCTAAAACCAGAGAGGTGTGAGACATCTACGCAGGGCAGGAAATGTGCCTCAGTGACAAAGGAGCCGTCTGAGGACCACGGCAGGGGACAAGAGCTCTGGGAGGACAAGTGAACTGGGAGCACATACACAGAACAAGGGTCGGAGAAGAGGGGAGCTGGTGGGGAAGGAAAGCAGAGGAGTCACAGGGGCTCAGGAGGCAAAAGCTGAGAAAAGCTAAAGGGCTCTGCAGCCATTCGTCCTCGTCCCAGGCAGGCAGCCGAGCAGCCAACATTTATTCAGAGCCTATGAGGCACAATTTCCGAGGGAAAAAAATTCAAAATTTCTAAAGAGAAAAGCAATGTAATAAGGCCCAAGTATCTGAGATGATGAGAGCTGGCGCTAGAGCCCAACAGGGAAATCTTGGGGAAGAAGGAAAGGGGGAAGGGTCAAGAAGTATACATGGAGGGGTGCAAGGGAGCCACAGTGTGGGGCTGAGAACCAAGGTACCTAATAGTATCAACTTGACCCCAAAGAGAAGCCATTGCCTGAGAACAATGGGCAGAGGGGGTTTGTGGAGAGAGGTATTTGAAATAGTCTCTGCTTGAACATCATCAGAATTTCTTCTCTGCCCCCGAGAACACCCAACTGATTGGCAGCCCTAGATTCTGACAGTTCAAAGCCCCACCCCGTCATCGAACTGCTTCCTAAGCCTCCATTCCGGTTCCTGCCTGAACTGCCCCCACTGACCCCGGTACCACCATCGCCCAGGGCCCTTCTTCTCGGAGGGAGGCTTCATTAGAAAGGCCATACATTCCTGTCCCTCAAAAAATGGCCCAGCTAGGTGGCCTGTCTTGCTGCAGTGTCACCAATGAACCCCAGGTTACTGACAAAGGACAAATGGCTGCTTTCCCCCAAGAGCTCTGAACACACAAAACAAATCACCAGGCTGCTTTTTGAAATAAAGCAGCATGGAGGCTGAACATGTGACAGTCTTTCACCTGCTCTGCTCACAATCAACAAAGGTTTAGGGAATAGGTCTCCTGCTGTTCGAGTGTGAGGCGCTGTTCACCAGATCTGGGTGGATCCCAGGGCCGCCGCTGACCTGCTGTGTGTCCCTGCTCTGTCTCTCTGTGCCCTTCCCAGGGAGAAAGAGATGGATGCCTCAACGGAAGGATTATCAGATCAAGGTGCATGAGGGCCACTGTCTCTGGCTCACGCCAGGATGACTTCACAACAAAACCGCTGGCTGACCCCTTGGCAGCATGGGCCCCAAACGCCCAGACTGGGAAGGCCACAGGAACGCCACCTCAAGGTGCTGCCTTGCACAATGACTGCCCTACCCCCGCCTTCTGAGGACACCCCTCTCAGCCCAGGCAGGGAGCCTGAGAGCTGAGGGTCACTGCATCCACCTTGGCTTCATTTCTCTCTTCCCAGGGGGCCCTCCACTCTCTAGTAAGAGATCAGTATCTCTGACAGAAAAGTGGAAAGTAAACTAGGATTCGAGCAGGGCCCACCTCTGTTGCTTCCCTGGCGGTGCATCGCTGGGCCCTTGCAGCTGGCCTGTTCCTTCCTGTTCTCATTGCAGACACTCTTATGTGAAAGGGACCTGCGCCCACTCCCGGTGTCTTCTAGGGGCCCAAGCATGTGGGGGATAAGCTTTGCATGGCGCTCCTGCCCCTTTACCAGATGGCTCTTTTGTGCCACGGGATAGCACTGGACACAGGTCACAGGGAACAAGGCATTACTTCCACTGGGGCCTCCACAGTGGGCAGGAAAGCAGGCCCCCAATTCCTCAAAACATTTTGAATAATTGCATTAATAGTCCCTACCCAACTTCCAAAAACTAAAATAAACTCAGCAAAAAAGACAGGATGACTATGAAAAGCAATAGCCTTTTCCTTCTCATATTTTCAAACCTAGTAACATGAGGTGCTGTCAGAAGCCACTGCTCAGAGAGAGAAATAACCTTTCTGACTGAGCCTGCAGTTGTCTGCCCTTGAGCACCCTGATGACGTGGCTTCTCACATTACTGACCAACAATTCCTCTTATCTGTGTGTCTGGCACCCTGGAGCACGAGTTCTCTAAGGCAGGGCTTTCCAGCATGTTTTTCTTTCTCTACCAGAATCCAGCAAAGTACCTGGCATATAGGAGGCATTTTTTTTAAATGCTGAACGAATGAACTAGGCTCAAAGAACTTCTGGGCTCAGACGTGTTCTGAGCAAGTGTCACCCCACAGAAAATCCTTTACCCAGAACCATGTGGACCACACCCACCACTAAGAAGGTCAGTACTAGAAAGACCAACTTGCTTAGGACAAGACGACAACAATGACTTTAAGTGTCAACTAAAGTTACTCTGCTTACTGGCTAATCAGATGATGTACTTTCTTGGCCTCAGTTTCCTCATCTGCAAAACGGGAATGACAAGGCAAACACCACTGCATTTCTGCTGTGCTGGGAAGAGTGAGGCTGAGATTACCCAGCACGTATGTGCAATGCTCAGTGACGCCAAGGCTCCTGCCTTCCCTCCTCGTTATGTGACAGTAAGAAAGGTTCTGCCCGCTCACTCACCTTGCCCATCCTGATGCACGAGTTTATAGTATCGAGCAAATCAGCCTTTTTTTCATTTATAGGCACTTCTGCTAACTCCTTCCCTATTAATTCACCTGACTCGTAGCCCATTGTTGTTTCAAATGCAGGATTTGCATACTGGAGGGAGACAAAAGAAAAAAACATCAAGTGAGTTAAAAGAAATTGTGAAAAAAGGACAATCAAGCGTATTCAACCTAAGCCACAACCGTTTCCCCCCAAAAGCTCAGGAGCCTGGAGCTCACCAGAGTAGCTCTGAAGCCGCAGTAGCACACATCCTGAAGGACCCTCTGCCAGTGCCACCTGGCTGACTTTCTGCCAAGCTCTGAAGCTCCAGGGCGGGCAGCATGCCTCCCACTCCCACCCCACTGAGACGCCAGCAGAGGAAAGAAGCCATGTGGAGACAGGCCCAGAGCTGCCATAGAAGGGCTGTTTGGATTACAATAGTGGGAAAGGCACCAGGCCGGGACCTGAAGCATCCAGGTTCTACTCTGCAAGCCCCTTAACCTCTCCAAGTCTCAGTCTGCGCATCTGTTTAATGGGAAGGAGGCACTTATCTTGCCTCTCTCATGGGATGCAAATGAATAATGTGTTTGGGAAGCAGGCTATGAGCCAGGAAGTGTTTGTAAATGGAAGACTTTACGGTCAAATTTCAAATAGGACTAGAAGACTTAAGAAAATGTGTGGGAAAGCTGTGCAGTGCTAATAATAGTAATAAATAAATAAGGATGACTGAACATTATGTGATACTGTTTAATAGCTACTGCAGTAAGCGCTTTATGCACATTCACTCATTCAGTCCTCAGAATGTCCCTACGAAAGGTAGGTTGTTGTCAGATGAGAGAGCACATTCACACAGATTAAGTAACTTGCCCAAAGACACTCAGCCAGGAAAGGGCCGAGGCCGGTCTGACACCCAGCCTGTGCCCCCACCACTGGCCCCTGTGCTTCTCAGGGCACCAGCTCCTGAATGCCAACATTACACGTCAGATCTAAGTGAGGGATGGGGCGTTCTAAATCACAGTGGAGCTGTTCTCAGACCAGAGGAACATTTCTCTTTTGATGCTATCTCAAAATACAAGCCCTGTTATCTTCAGTCACTGATGGGAACCCGCTTTGCTAATAACGGATAATGTGCTCGGTAATTATGAGGTTATTTTTGAGATTTTGAGTAGTTCCCAGTAAATTTCTATAGGTGTAAGCTATCTTCAGACACAGTGAGAAAGGTGAGAGCTCGCAGACCTTGTGGTCAGGGCCTTCCCCTGTTGCAATGCCCCCACCCCCACCCCCACCCAGTGATAATCCCACTCGATAAATGTCTTTCAACAAAAATGTGAGAAATAATCAATGCAAATGTGGTATTTCTACAGAATGTTTTCTAGTTCCTTAAGTAATTATCAGTACCTTTTCTTACCTATATGGAACTTATTTTAAATTACATATTTTATAGATTTTGTTCTAAGAATCCCCTATGGAAAAACTGGTCTCTTGAACATAAAAAAAAATCATATTGGAGGGGTTCAATCCTAAAAATGAGAATAAAACCATAAATCCAGAATGACAAAATTTCCAAAATAACAAACCTGTATGATGTGGTCTTCACTTATAATTTCAATTGCTTCTTGACTTTTCTCTAATGCAGTGAATATTGAGTTACAAGCCCTTTATGGGTGGGGAAAATAGAAAAAAAAGAATTGATTAATGTAAATACTACAAAATCTGATGCAGTCTCAGGGTATTACATTAACTTATTTAAAGTTTTTGGTCTGATTATAAAGGTAACAAATGCTAATTCAAAAAAAAGAAGGGAGGGAATATTTAAGAGCTCAAGAAAGAAATAAACACCTCCTGCGACACTGCTACTGGGGACCAAGACCAGGCACAAGCTGGCGCCTTTCCTTCCAGCCTGAGATGCAGTGGACCAGCGAGCGTGGAGCACACGCCAGAGATAAAATCACAGCCCGTCACCGGCTGGGCGATCCCAGGCACCAGACAGCCTCCTGGAGCCTCCCTTCTCACCCACCATCTGAAGAGTCCTGGTGAGGACTAAATGAGAGAATACAGCCAAGGAGCCCACAGAGAGGCTAGTAGAGAGGAGGCAATAATTTGTAGCTATTATCTTAAGCTCTTCACAAAGTTGGGGTTATCAGGATGACAAGCTTTGTCCCCTTTCTTCACTCAGCCTTGTGTCGAGAGCATTCTCCCATGGCCTTCATGTTTGAAAATACTTTCTTTCTCCCAAATTTCTTCCCCAGTTCCCCTTCCCTTCATATTTTCCCAGCCCCCTTTCTAATGGGCATCCGCCTTTGGCTGTCAGCTGGTGCAGAGGGAGCAAAGCAGGGCGTGTTAACAGATGAGGACGGAGGGGTAAGCAGTGGGCAGACCCTGGAGAGCCACATAGGCCGCAGTTTAGAGTCTGGGATTCATCTCAAAGGCAGTGGGGAGGGTAGTTGCAGAACAAACCCCAAGTGGAGTTATGTGTTACTGAGGTGCGGAAAATGGACAAGGAGAAGTCAAGGCTAGATGTAGGGAGAATGACAGTTTCATAATCCAGGTGAGAGACGACAGTGGCCTAAATTAGAGGAAGGCGAGTGGGCATAGTCCACAGATCTTATGAAGCAAAACCAATAGGACTTGGTGAGTGACCGGAGTTGGGGAGGAGTGAATGAGACACGGGTGTTTCCGTCTGGGACCTCTGGGTAGGTGATGCTCAGTTCACTAAACTCAGGTATTCAGGAGGAAAAGGTCAGAGGTTACAGTTAGATTTAGGGATGTAGGCGGAACAATGGTTGCTGTTTCAAAAACGTGGGTTACACCCTGAAGGACCACCTTTGCCGCCTGCTTTTGTGAGATCTTGGGTGTAAGTCAGTTAACCTCCCGGGGCTCAGTGTCTGCATCTTGTTTGGACCAAATCGACTCTACCCTCACCTCCTGCATCCATGATTCTACTCCACTCTGAGGGGATGGTAGCCTGATTCCCAGGGGGAGGACAGAAGCCAGGCTACTGGGTACCTGGTGAAGAATGGAGCAGGCCCACGGCACGGTTCCTCTGGAGCCCTCCTGGCCTCCAGCCATCTCCGCCACCTCCCGCTCCTTTCACGCCGTCCGTGACATGCTCTTCTTCCCTGCACGCACAGCCCTGTGCTGCTTCCCACTAATCTGAACACCAAATTCTGACCCCTCTCCCTGCCTTGGGCTTATGATTCCATCCTTTCTGATCCCTGGGAAGGGAAATGTGAAGAACGAAGGCCACCCAAGGAAGAAACCTACGGGAACAGAGTGGCTGACTTCCTTTTTCTGTCAACCTCTTATAAATTTACTAATTTTTCTACTTTTCTTGTTCAACAAGGAACTAGGTTTCCACTCATTTCACTTAAAAAGAAAACAAAAAACTGTTTATCAAGAGCAAATGACAAAGTGCTTATTGTAAAGGAAAAAAAGTCACCTACCAGAGATATGGTTCTCTCTAATGTTAATAGGTTGGGTGGGTGAGTATATTAAAAGTATTTTTACAAAACAAAACAGGTAACTCAGTATTTATACTTTGTACCCTGCTTTTTCACTTACTATTATTTTGAAGCCCAATCTTTAAATCTGAGTCTTCAGTTACTAACAAGACCATCTGTTAGACACCCAGACAGACTCTGAAAGTCCATACAAGGAGAGGAGCCAGCCCACCACCCTACCCCATTTTAGCAGGAGGTCGTTACCCCCAAAAGACAGCCATCCACGACCAAGTCCTCGGGGCGGGGGGGGGGGGACTGCTCTCCAGAGGAGGCAGAATTACCTGAGTTTCAGCTGCGACCGCACCTCTCCACACTCCAGCTGGAGCAGCTCATTATAACAGGCCATGAGGCTGGGGTTTTCCACATACCTCTGTGAACAGAAAGGGACTTGGTGGGTAAGCGAACGTGCATCTTTAAATTATCATCTATCCATAAAAAGTTTTAACATTTTCATTTATCTGTGTTCATTTCTCAAAATTCTATTATCTTCTGCTTCAAAATGTGCTGTGTCACTTTTTATAGTTTCCTGTTCCTTGCAGATATTTCCAAGCTTGTCTTGTCATTTATTTCTTTATATATAATAAGTGTAATTCCTTTAAATTCACGTCCGATAATTCTAGTGTGAGGAGTGGGCGGGTCTGTCTCCACCACGCCTGGTCTCCCGTGGACTGGCAGCTGTGACTAAGTGCTGTATGCTGCCCTTGAACAAGTGTTTGCAGCAATTCTCTGAGGCCAAAGGTGAAGGGTTTTCCTCTGGGAGGGTCTGTATTGGTTCCTGCAGGTACCTGAGAGTACTACCTTCCAGAACCCATTAAACTAGATTCATGGCTTGAGGTTTCTTGACTACTCCATTGATATAAACTTGAACTACAAATCTCCGCAAGGGTCCGCTGTACATAGGTTCTCTCCACCATGATTCCCAAGGCTCACTGGCAACCAGCTGACCAAAGCCTTCAGACTTTTGGCTCAGAAGAGACCAACAGACTGGAGCTGGGGGTGGGGAGAAGGGAGCCATGTTTGTATTGTCCTAGTTCGAGAGTCCCTGAACTGGTTTTAAGGTTGCACGTATACGAGGAGGCATTCTAACAATACATCCTATGGTATAACATTTAATGTGTGTGCATTAAAGGAGATTTGATTATGTTTAGATGACTTTAGCAGGCATGGTTTTGAGAGACTAAGAAAGTGAGGGCTTGTAGATTATTAGATGACGAGGCTATAAAGTTAAACCGAAATGTAATACAGCACAAGGCCAGCAATTTTTTTCTTCAAGTTAATTCAAAACCTTGGCTGGTTCTGAACTGAGATATAATACTTTCCCCTGCTGAATTATAGTTGCATAACAAAGAAGTGGGTACCTACCCGAGTAAAGCCAGCAGCAATAAGGGGCATTACAGATGACTCTTCTCTGTCCGCCCTTCAAAAGGACATAGCAAATGGTCAGGCAGTTTTATCAATTACATCTCACCTCCTTATTCACTCATTTATGTAATACCATGTAATAAGTACTTTTCCATGAATTAGAGTAATATACACATCAAAAGTATAAAGTTAAAAATAGTTTCTGTTTTAGTTTCACATGTAGCTTTTTGGCAGCATATGTTAATACCTGAAGTACAGAGGTTACACTAACAGCCAAAATACAGGAATCATCTTTTCATCTATTTGATATGGCAACATTTTTTTTTTAAGATTTTTATTGGGGAATTGGGGGGATGGGAACAGTGCTGGGGAATTGGGGGAAAGGGGACAGACAAGTTGCTGTCCCTTTGCTCTTCAGTCTAGTTGTGGAGGATGTTGCTTCACTGGCCCAAGTTGGCATCATCATTGTGCTCTTCCCGGGCAAGGCAGATCAGTCGCCGGCTTCTGGACGGCCACTCACTGCGGCTGCTGGCCGCTCATGCTGGCTGCTGGCTACACAC